GTAGTGAATCGTTCTTCTGATAACGTAACCTCTGCTAGGCTCATCAAGTCCTCCTCTGATCGATGAAACGCGTTCCCAATAGGGTCGAAACTTTTGAAAATCATTACACCGTGTTGATGAACCTGCTCAGGAAAAATGTACATACAGGATGCAACAACATTCTCTGCGAGCCAAAATACAACACATGCGACACATTCCTTGAAACATGTGAGTCATAGTTAAAAGAAGTTTTTCATTATCCGAGAAAGCGAATATTTAAGTTTTACCACAACAACATCCCAGGTGTAATCTGCAGTAATCGCCTGAGGCATGCGCGCCCTGCTCCGCCCCACCCCGCCCCGCCCTGCCCCGCCCTGCCCCGTCCGTGCGTCCGACTATCTGGATAAAACGATCCTCCGTCAAATATTTCCACGCGGAACGAAGCGGAGCGGCGGCAGAAGGAGATGGCGGGGAAGTGTGGCGTGGCGGGCGGCGGCGCTCGGTTTGAATAAGTAATGAAAACTGCAGTATCCGGTGGGGCGCGCGGTGGGGCGGGGCGGGGCAGGCTCTTACATACATTGCCGAGACGATCGGGTGAGGGGCACAACAGCCCGCATTAGACCGATCCATGTTTCAGCGGCGTCCTGCCCTCCTGCTGACATGAGCGTCCTGTGCCCCTCTCCGTCCGCGCCGGGTGGCGGGTCGAAGCCGCGGATCCGACCTCAGCGAGGAGCAAAGTACAGAGAAGGGAATGGAAAGAGTTATTGGGCTCGACCGCAACACGACCGCTATACTTTTTGTTTTGTTCTTTCCACGTGCAGCAGAGGGGTGGGCGGGGTGTGGGCAGGACTGTCGTCGAGGGTTACCCGAGGAACAAGGTGGATATTCCCCCCGCCCGACGCCCTTTTTGTCAATCTCGGTGTTGCCTGGCCCGAGCAGCGGGTGAGTCTTGGCTAATTGTGCTGGCCGAAGGGGATCTGCTGTATCACGCCTCCAGTTTGCTCACCACCCGCCGTAGATGTGCCATGTCTGTTTCTTGCCCCCTTCGGGT